CCTTCATTAGCAAAGTGAAGGGAGGGTATAATTATTTTTGTGTTGTTTTGCTTTGTGTTCCTCTTGTGAGCGACCATAACAACAATTAGTTGGGATGTCACTCAAATTGAACCACCCAACCCCACAACCAATCACCCATCACATCGCCCACTTTCGCCCAGTGGGATTTGGTAGTGCCTGCATTTTTATTGAATGAAAATTCTTTACGTCTTTCGATGTTTTGCTGTCTGCAGTAGTCAGCATTATGACCAAAACATGCTGTTGGCATCAACTACAGAAGGATGACCTTTTTTTATTCTCTTTTGAGAAATTAATTTCAAGTATTTCACAAAATATGTGTCGATATGTAATGACGGATGTGTGCTGTTGCTGCTACATATCCCCTTTTGTTAAGTGGGCGTTACTGTATCTGTATTAATTAATTAATGATTGCTAGGCAGTGGGGTCTAGATAATAGTAGCCCGTTTTTAATGGGAACAATTCGATCAAAACTGATACCAACACGCGACAGAATATCCTTTTAAATAGATTCATTTTTCCGGGAGGCGGGCCTTCGGCCGGTGATTTTAGATTTTCCCCTCATAGACGGATACCAACTCCGGCTACGCGGCAGAATTTCCTTGTTTTGTAGGGTTCTAGGCCATATCTTTTGATCGACAACTGATACAGCCATATATCATACCATTTTTGAAGGAGCAAATGTAATCGCAATTGTCAGGATTAATGAGGTACTATAATGAACACAAGTTCGACTTTTAGGGAGATCTTCAAAAAAAAAAAAACAATCGGGGTTTAAAACCCAGCTTATTGGCATATCTCCCAAACGATTTGAGATAATCCCTTCATCCGTAGAACCGGGTACCAGTACCGCAACTTACGAGTCAAATAATCAAGTACGTCCCCAAAAAAAAAAAATATATCCCCATAATTATGGTAAAAATACCTGCCTCTGGAAAAAAAAAATCAGAAAAATTTGATCGTTTATACTAAACAAGACTTTTAATGGGATAATGTGACAATTACAAAGTTAAATCCACTTAGTACCTAGAGTACGACAAGTACCTTCTAAATGAAACATTTCCAACAAGGAATCCCAAGAATCAGAGAACTGGCAATGGAAGTGAACAGGTTATTCGGCGAGCACAAACGGAAATAGTGGCTAGGACATCTTAAGTTTTGCAACATCAGTTCCACAGCGAGTAAATTGTGGGCAACGGTTATATCGCTCTTGAAGGAGTAGAGTACCTAACCAAAGTTCTCAATTTGTCGTTACTCCCAAATGCCTCCAAATGCCAAAGTGGGCAGGGTGTTCCCGCTACAGACCGATCTCACTTTTGTCGTCAGTAGCTAAGACTTTTTAGACATTGCTCCTCCCTAGCATTCGTGAATGCTACTCAGTTGATGATCATCAACACGGATTCCGGAAGCAGCACAGCACAACAACACCTTTGCATGCCATTTTCATACATATAACGGACGGGCTCAACCAGAACAGTCCGTTTAATAGGATAATTTTGGTGGCGTTGGACCTTGAACCTTAATACCGTCAGATTTAATGGCTTTCGAGGACGTCGAAGGAACTACTCTTCAGCCAAGTTTGAAACGTTGGATCGTAAATGTGTAGGCGCCAGACGTACGTGGAATTCCGAATTAAGAAATCGAATTCCCTAGAGTCAAGAAGGGAGTTCCCCACGGAGGGGTGATATCTCCGGAACTGTTTAACATCTACCTTTCTGAAAGTCCTCTCTCAACGGATGGCATTAAGGTCATTACGTTTGCAGATGATTGTATGATCATGGCGCCAGGGCGGAAAATTGTTGACATATGTGAGAGGCTGAACAGCAGATATATCAGACTTGTTCCGGGTGAGGAATATGGAAATATCAGCAATTGTTTACCACACGAACATGCGGCTACCTTTGAATGTGCAGCTTGATGGGTCCAAAATTCCGATCACGAATTACCTCAAGGTTCTAGGGGCCAATTCAATAGCATTTGAAAGTATTACGCACTTGCGACAGCTATTTGCGATAAGGCCAGGGTAGAAACAAGGTTCTCAATTTACTAGCCGCCAGCGCCTGGGAGCTGACTAAGAAGCCTTGTTAACAACATACACAGCAAAAGGCCGGTCGGTGGTAAACCTCCGAGAATGCCGCTCTGATGACTGCAACAGTGTGTATCCTCATGACTCCAATAGATCACTTACATGAGGGGACGAAAATCCTTTCTGTGCGTCAACACAATAACATGTCTAAAGAATATCTGTTTGGATGTTATATCCAAACCATCACCTTATTGATTGGCACCTAACACCTTGGCATATCGGGAACGATCTTATTGATCTGGAGAAAAGAGGTGCAGATGTACAAATTGGAGCATCTAGATAAATCGGCCTATCAAGCACGATTGAATTGTATTCACATGGATGCCTTTCAGGAAGCAATTGAAGAATATAGAGCGAATACAATCTTCTACGACGAACCAGAGTGGAACCTGGAAAAGGCTCACGAAAAAAACACCGACACATTCCACGTATTCTTTGACTATAAAGCCGCATTCGACAGACCTATCCGATCAGAGGTATTTTAAGCCACGTCTGCATTAGGCATTATTGCAAAATTTATACGGCTATGCAGGATAACTCTATCTAGCACAAGGTCAGCAGTCGGAAATGACCTTCCATACCGAATGAGAATTCAGACAAGGTGACAGCTTGCGGTGTGACCCTTTTAAAATTCTGCTGGAAAGGGTTATACGAGATGCAATTGTAAACAGAAATGTCACTCTGTACACCAAACAGCATATGTTACTCGCCTACGCCGACGACATAATGAATCGAACATTGTGAGACTCGGACCAACTGTGAACGATTTTATATACCTCGGTTCCGCCATAAACATAACTAATAACATCAGCTTTGAAATCCAGAGGAGAATAGTGTTGGCCAACATATCGTGTCTTGAGAATGGATGAGGATGCACCAGCTCAAAAGGTATATAAAGGCAACGAATTCGATGGAAAGTGGATCAAGTGGAAGACAACATGGTCTTTCAAATTGGAAGATTGGCACACAAGACTGAAGCGCCTAGAAATCTTTTTATGCTTCTTTTTTGGAAAAAAACGTTCTGTCACAAGTAAAGTAACTCGATTAACTTCTCTGAACCGAAAATCCTATTGTTGATTATATTAGAAATATACTTAGACTTCAATGTAAGACATCGAAACTCGTATATCTCAGTATTTACGACACTTATATCCCTCTATATTTTTTTAATTATAATATGTTATTATTATTATTATTTCAAATCATCCCAATCGCCAGAATTTACGTATTCGTCAATATACGTTCACATAGATTGGGCCTTACTGTACCAACATAATTGTCCGCCACCATTGTCATCAGTTGCAGCATGTGCTGATGCTGTCGGTTGTTGTTTATTGTTCCCAAGATTGCATCATGTCTGATGAATATGCCAATTCTTTAGCATAAATTGGCAGGGTAGATACTTCGCAACTGCATTTGGAATCGATTCAAGGCTATTATTGTAAAACTTTCTGTGAAGAGCATACGAAGCATAAAAACAACAGTTGTTAATTTAGCAATGACTATTCGAGACATGGAAGATGAACATGGAATATTTAGGCGGATTTTTGCAACTATAAGCGTAGCGGATAATATCTTAGGAATCATGTCCATCTCATTCTGCTGGTGTTCTTAGGCAATGTAGATTTTTTTAGAAATCCATATAAATAGGTTCAAGCAATTTTGTATCCGTCTTTGCATCTAAGTAATGCTTGATGCTTCGCTTATTTTCAAAATGACCACCTTTGCAGTGGCACCAGAGGCATCTTCTACAGAATTTAGTTCGTAAGCCTTTCGCATGATATTAATCATTTATTTTTCTTTCAGATTTGGACCAATTTGAGTTGTCCATCATTTGACGTTGGTTCCGATTCTGCAGTATCATGCGGGAGCAGCGGTAATTGAAAATTAGATCTAATGAGTATGCCTTTTTTTCAAAAAAAAAAAATGAGTTCAGGCAATACAGTTCTGTCCATGCACAGTGATTAATTGTGTACTTAGGATTCTATAGTGAATATAACAGTTTTATTGTGTTCAATTTTTAGAATAGAAAAATTTCAAATAGAAGTGTATAAATCCCACAAAAGAAATCTATAACTGTTCATCATCTCCTTCCCATTTAAACCTTTAAGCAATTTGTAGATTTTTTTTATTTTTTTTTTAATTCGAAAACCACAACACAACCGAAAATTTGTGATGTGAAAACATTTTCATCGATCATTTGATGTTTAGAATAGATTAACATAGAGATAGACAAATGGACAGACAGCAAATCGTAATTGATTTACATTTTCGAATCGATGCATCACAGGAAGGAAGAAGACAACTCAAATGTCTGATGTCCCCCCTATGTCTAGGCATGCGTTCGTGCGCTCACTTGCTCACTCTTCTCCCAATGCAGCAGCACTAGAGGAGATTATTGTCACAGTTAGAGTAGAATCAGAATATTTGCACAAAAGAACTCGCAAAGAAAGAAATCTTGGGACTGTGCCACATTCAAAATAGAAATTAATTATTCAGTTGCATTTGCATTTTTTAACATTTCGGTTGTGTCACAACGAGACGACGACGGTGAAAATTGATTTCAAATGAAAAAGAAAATCAAACGAAGCGAATAACTATTTTAAAATTCAATTTCATATTCAAACTGAATTCAATTTTTAAAACGAACGAACGAGTGAACGCGTCCGACCAATGATCTGGAATTTTTCGGGTTTCACAAATCGAACAAAAAATCAACTCGACTCAAACGAATTTACAACCAAAAAATTTTTAAATTTCTATGCAAAACGTGCAGCCATTATTTTTAAAATTAAATTTTCAAAAAAGAAATTCCTTGCCTTTGTAGAAAAAACCAAATTGAAAGTGGAGCAAAGCAAGTGAATGAAAGATAATGGCTCCGATAAGTGAAAAAAGAATGTCAAATCAGCAGCAGTCGCTGCAACAACAACAACAGCAAGGCGACATTATAATAACAACAACGGCAACAATGCAATTGAGTCATCATCAACAGCAGCAACAGCATCTTCATCATCATCACAACCACCACCACAACAACAGCCACCACAATCATCATCATCACCATCATGCCAAAGAAAATGCCTCAGCTGTACGCAGCAATGGCCTAGTGGTGGCCAGTCCCAATGTCAAGGGTTTGGAAATAAAAGATTTTCACGAATCCTGGCTGGAAGAGATGGAAGTCTACAAAGATATGATGCATGTTCCGAAACAGAAGCATGTGCCACATCAATTGTTGGGTTCCCACAATCATGCCCATACACCACAAGGCTGCCAAATCGATGTTGTGGTCAATACTCATCAGCATCACAATCCTCAGCAGCAGCACCACCACCAGCATCAGCATCAACACAATTCAAGTGCCAATAAAATGTCGTCACATTTGATGGCAACAACAAACCCTAAAGCGGCCAATAATAACAACAACAAGTCAATATCATCTGAGACAAATACAACAGCAGCAACAACAACAACGATTGTTACTAATGGAAATGTCAAACGTCGAAATGTAAATGACAACAGCAAAACCAACAACACACGAGTGAAAGTAACGCCAACATTGGCTGCTGCAACAGCAGCTGCATCTGCTGACACGGCAAAACATGGCAAATCTCAGGCAGCCAGTGGTGGTCATCAGGTAAGTTTTTTTTTACTTGTCATAGTTGATTGGATTAATGCATTGAATTTTTGAAGGAATATTAGTTTTGTGTTGTTGTTGTTTTGTATGTCAAAATTACAGATTGTTAGAAACAAATTTCAGAATTCATTTCCCCACTTAATGTATCCTAGAAAAGAGAACTAATATATTAATTTCAAAAGGGATCGAGGGAGTCAACTAAAGTGAGTCTTTATAGACGAACTGAAAGGAAGTCTTCCTATAGATGAGCTGAAGGAAGTCTTACTATAGAAGAGCTGAAGGGAGTCTTTTTATAGACGATCTGAAGGGAGTCTTTTTATAGACGATCTGAAGGGAGTCTTTTTAGAGACGATCTGAAGGGGGTCTTTTTATAGACGATCTGAAGGGAGTCTTTTTATAGACGAGTTGAAGGGAGTCTTTTTATAGACGAGGTGAAGGGAGTCTTTTTATAGACGAGGTGAAGGAAGTCTTTTTATAGACGAGGTGAAGGGAGTCTTTTTATAGACGAGCTGAAGGGAGTCTTTTTATAGACGAGCTGAAGGGAGTCTTTTTATAGACGAGCTGAAGGGAGTCTTTTTATAGACGAGCTGAAGGGAGTCTTTATAGACCGGCAGTAGGGAGTCTTAATAGACGAGCTGAAGGGAGTCTCTATAGACGTGGTTAAAGGGGGTCTTTTGTAGACGGGCTGTAGGGAGTCTTTATAGACCGGCAGTAGGGAGTCTTTATAGACGAGCTGAAGGGAGGGAGTAGACGAGCGCAAGGGAGTCTTTATATATAGACATAAAGTGTGGTTTTTTTTAAAGAACATTGTTTCAAGTAGCCAACGAGGCCTGGAAGTTGATTTTTTAAAGAATTTTGTTCTAAGGACCTCTAAGTCGTGGATTTTTCAAGAATATTTTTTTCAAGGGCCTCTAAAACGTGGATTTTTTAAAGAATATTTTTCTAAGGACCTCTAAGAATATTTTTAAGGCGTGATTTTTTTAAAAATATTTTTCTAAGGTCCTCAAAGACGTGGATTTTTTAAAGAACGAGCTGAAGGGAGTCTTTAGACGCGAGTTGAAGGGAGTTGCGTAATGAATTGAGTCTAAAATGATTATTGCTAAGTTTTGTAAAAATCTGTTTAGATTTAGATATAGCTCCCATATATAATTTCCTCCGATTTTATGTAAATGGTGCACCGGAGGCCCTATATTACTTTCGATTTGCACGAAATTTGGCATAACGTTTAGATGTACCTCCCATATTAATTTCGTCCGATTTTATGTAAATGGTGCACCAAAGCCTTGATATTTCCTTCGATACTTTTTTCTGTGTTTTGGCTTTAAAAAAAAAACATTTCTTCAATGACCCCCGCAGAATCTAATTTATAGATTATGCCATGAATATTTTCCCAAAGGCCAGCAGTCATGTTCTGGGAACCGGAAGCCGATAGCAATAAGCTTTAAAAGCTTTTTTTTAAAGAATAATTTTTGTTTCAAAGGTCTCAAAGACCGACCTGAGGTTTAGGGATTCTTCAGAGAGACTATAAAGGAAAGTATTCTTTATAGACGAAATGGTCTTGATATATATTCGGAAAGAAGCCTTTCTAAACGACCAGAAATAATTTTGTATCCTTATAGAGATTTGAGGGTGAGATCTGATGGTAGGTATGGGGATTTATGTACTAACTTCCTCTACACCAACACATTAATATGAAAAATTGTTAATTAACAACCCAATGCTTTCCTAATCATTGTACATTGTTGTTTTCCTTTTTTTAACATTTCCCACATGGATGCGCTGCCAAAACACAAACATACAACCACCCATCAACCATTCTCTCCTCCATGTGCATAAATGCTTTGTTTATTTTGCTTTTACTAACAAAACAAAGTTACAATTAAAGAGACCACGTGAAGAAACGCCCACCAAAAAGTCGGGAACGGGTTCTGGTGCCAAAAGCAATTCCCCAAATGCAACTAACCCAACTAGTCATCATACAGCCAAGCGTTCCTCGGGTCATAGTAGCACCAATGAAACAACAAATATTGCAGGAGTTAAACAAAATCACAATAACACGGCTCCGTTAAGTCCTGGAAAAGTAAAAAATCCTACAAGGGCAACGACTACTAAAAGCCCAACAGCAGTTGCTGCAGATACTGCTGTTAGTAATAAAAATGCCATAAATTCTACCTCCGCTTATGCTGCTGCACCACCCACCGCCATGCCTTCTGCTCCATCCCCTTTCCAATTAGCATATTCACCGTTACCCCTCTCAAGTCCCAAGCATAATGCCAAGATAATTGTTAATCAATTTCATGCCAGTAGTCTCCTCAACGGCCATCAATTGGAGGAAAAAGAAAAAATACTAACACTGAATGGCCTGAATCAGCATCACCACCATGCCGCCAAAGCCGCCACCTCTGCCTCAGCATATGAGGCAAGCTTTTATGCAGCAAATTATTTGAATTCTGATAAGGCACACACTAACAATATGCCGGCAAATGGTATGCCTACCAATCGCCCCCGAGGTGATGGGCCTAACAATGGTACTAATTATCTGGGTGTTTCTTTAGCTAATCAAGGAATTGTCAATGGTACTACTACCAATCATGATGGCAGTGAATTTGCCGATGATGATGATCCAAGTGCAGGTAGTCCCACCATATTCGAAAATGCAAACCTATTTTAATTCATGTTTTTTTTATTTTCTTACAGCCATTGATGATGTCAATCCCGATACGGATAGTGATTTTGAAGAGGACTATGTTGGAGAGCCATTCCATTTGGAGGAAGATGGTGATGAGACGCTGCAAAGTAAAACAAGTATGTAATACAAATTTCTACTCAGAGATTCTCAAATACTAATCCAATTTCCTCATTTCAGAACCCTATGTCTATTACACACCCACAACAATATTGTCGCCCAGTCTTTTCCCCAATGTGGCACCCTATCTCAACTATTCATCGCATGCCGAACGAGGACCCCCAATGCCAGCCCAATTGCATAAAATCCTTAAATGGAAACTGAGTATAGCAATGCCAAAAATTGTCAAGCGGGTTGTTCTTAATTCAGGATTTCGCATCATTAAAAGTGAGGCCAAAGAATTGAGGAGATTTGAAATTAATATTTAAAATGTATTTTGTTTAGATACCACCGATTGGATGGCGGTTTGGGAAAAACACATGAAAAGTCCTGGCTTCCGAACAATACGTTCTCACCAGAAATACAATCACATGCCAGGGTTCATTTCGTATTGGTCGCAAGGATAGCATGTGGCGCAGTATTAATGATAAAATGAAGAAATTCGGTAAAAAGGAATTTGGATTTATGCAAAAGTGAGTACAACCGGGAAGACGTCGTCAGAAATGAAAGAGTTTTAAAAGGAGAGATTTAAAGGCCGGAAGAAAGCATTCAATACAAATGGGATAGACGATAGACTAGCAGAAGGAAAACCTTATAGACGAACTGCAGGAAGTCTTTATAGAGGAGTTCGAGGGAGTCTTTATAGTCGAGCTGAAGGTAGTCTTTATAGTCGAGCTGAAGAGGGTCTTTATAGACGAGCTGAAGAGGGAGTCTTTATAGACGAGATGAAGGCAGTATTTTTAGACGAGATGAAGGGGGTCTTTATAGACGAGCTTATGGGAGTCTTTATGGACGAGCTGAAGGGAAGGGTCTTTATAGACGAGCTGAAGAGGGTCTCTATAGACGAATTGAAGGGAGTCTTAATGGCGGAGATGAAGGAAGTCTTTATAGTCTTTATAGACGTTCTGAAGTCAGTTTTTATATCGACGAGCTGAAGGGAGTCTTTTTATAGACGAGCTGAAGGGAGTCTTTTTATAGACGAGCTGAAGGGAGTCTTTTTATAGACGAGCTGAAGGGAGTCTTTTTATAGACGAGCTGAAGGGAGTCTTTTTATAGACGAGCTGAAGGGAGTCTTTTTAGACGAACTGAAGGCAATATTTATAGACCAACCTTTAGAAGAAATATGATGGGTCAACTTATTTTATTTCTCACTTTTAATTTCTCTATTTGGAAAGAGTCTTTGAAGACAAGCTGAAGGGAGTCTTAATAGAAGGGATGTGGATATGGTCTTTATAGACGAGATGAAGGGAGTCTTTTTGGACAAGTTGAAGGAAGTCTTTATAGACGAACTGATGGGACTCTTTTTAGACGAGTTGAAGGGTGTACTTACAGACAACCTGCAGGGAGTCTACATAGGACCTGAAGCGTGTTTTTATTGAGGAACTGCATGAGACCAAGTGCAGGGCGAATTTAACGTCTATGCATTTATGAGTCTTAAGGAGTCCTCATAAGCTATGGAGATTGAGACTTCATATGAATGAAGTATTTGTAGTCTACCTGAAAGCATTCTTTAGAGATGAGATGAATTCAAATTTTCTAGACGAGCTGAGAGCAGTCTTTATATCCGAGCTGAAGGCAACCTCTATAGCTAAGCTGATTGGGGTATATATGTACGAACTGCAGTGAGTCCTTACAGACCAGCTGAAGGTCACCTTTTTTAGTCGACCTGTATAGGGTATTTTTAGCAAGTTTTCATAGGAAGCAGCTCAAGGATGTTTCCGTTGTCGACCTTTAAGGGGGTCTATTGAAGTCTCGAAAGTCAATATCAATCCTTAAGAAACATAATTTTATTTTCCTTTTCTTTCTCTCCAGATCCTATGTCATGCCCGAAGAGTTAGAGCTGTTGAGAAAAGCATGGCCCCGGAATGTGGCACGTCGGACCAAATGGATTGTAAAACCACCGGCAAGTGCACGAGGAACTGGGATAAGTATTGTAAATAAATGGTCGCAATTTCCCAAAGATCTGCCACTGGTTGTACAAAAGTATGTTGTCATAGAATAATAATACAATCCTCGTACAAATTTGTTATATTTTACTTCTACTTTTTTGCAGATACATTGAACGACCTTTGTTGATAAATGACAATAAATTCGATATGCGTATCTATGTTGTATTGACCTCAATAAATCCATTGCGCCTGTATATGTACAAAGATGGTTTGGCACGTTTTGCTTCCGGCAAGTCCTTGAGCATTTCGTAACACCCTAGAATATGTTTAAAAATTTTATATTTTCTTTGCAGTTAAATACAGTTCCGAATTGAATAGCCTAGACGATGTGTGTATGCATCTAACCAATTATAGCATTAACAAATTTTCCGAGAGCTATGACAAGAATGAAGATGTCAATGCGTGTCAGGGTCACAAATGGACCCTACAATCACTGTGGTCATGCCTCGAGGAACGTGGTGTAAATACAAAACGTCTCTGGGCCACACTGCGCAATCTGGTGATCAAAGCTTTGATCAGCGGTGAGGCTGGTCTGAACCGCATGTATCGTCAAAATGTGAATTTCCGTTATAATTGTTTTGAACTGTTCGGATTTGATGTTTTGCTGGATGAGAATTTGGTACCATGGCTGTTGGAGATAAATATTTCGCCATCCTTGCATTCAGATTTGCCATTAGATTTACACGTCAAGGGACCATTGATACAGGCTGTGCTAAATACCGCTCTCTACCAGGTGCCACCAAAACTCAATGAGAAACAACAAAAAGATATTCTGGAAGAATTGAAATTGGAGGGACCCCTCTGCTTTGATAGACGCCTCTTTACCACCTGCCTGCGTAACGAGGAAATACGTAAACATAATCAATTTACCAATCGGTCCATTGAGGTGCGTGAAGATTATTTGGAACCTATTTTGGAAAATTTACTACCCGATGATGTACGTTGTTTGCTGTTGAGTGAAGATGAGTTGAATCGTTGCAGCCCCTTGGAACGAATATTTCCAACACCAAATACCTATCATTATTTGAAATTTGTTGATAATCCACGTTACTATAATCGTCTGTTGGATGCCTGGGAACATCGTTATGGCCATTGTCGTGAAAAGGGTATTGAACTGTTGCGTCAATATTGTCGTGATAATTATCATCTAATTGTTGCGGAGGCGGCTTTTGAGAAGGTAAGAAGATGAGGGATTTTAGGGACGATCAAAAGGGAGGTTTTATAGGAGAGTTTATGGAGGTTTCTTTGGACGAGCTGAAGGGAGTCTTCATAGAAGAGCAGAAGGGGGCCTTTAGAGAGGAGCTGAAGGGCGTCTTTAATGACGAGGTGAAGAGAGTCTTTATATACCCAATGGAGGGGGTCCTTAGAGAGGAGCTGAAGGGAGTGTTTATAGACCGAAGGAAGTCTTTATAGACGATCCGGAGGAAGTCTTTATAGACGATTTGGAGGCAGCATTTAAAGACGATGTGGATGCAGTCTTTATCGACGAGCTGAAGGGTGTCTTTATAGACGAGCTGACGGGTGTATTTATAGAAGGAGTCTTTATAGACGAATTAAAGGGAGTCTTTATAGTCGAATTGAAGGGAGTCTTTATAGACGAATTGAAAGGAAGTATGTATAGACGAGCTGAAGGGAGTCTTTATGGAGAAGCTGAATGGGGTCTTTGTAGACGAGCTGAAGGAAGTCTTTATAGACAAGCTGAAGGGAGTCTTTACAGACGAGATGAAGGGGGTCTTCCTAGACGATCTGGAGGTAGTCTTTAAAGACGAGTTGAAAGGAGTATTTATAGACAAGTTGAATGGAGTCTTTATAGACGAGCTGAATGAAGACTTTGTAGATGAGTTGAAGGCAGTCTTTTTAGACGACCTGAAGGTAGTCTTTCTAGAGAAGCTGAAGAGAGCTTTTATACACGAGCTGAAGGGTGTATTTTTAGACGAGTTGGAGGGAGTATTTTTAGACTAGCTGAAGGTAGTCTTTATAGGTGAGCTGAAGGAGCTCCTAGACGATCTGGAGGTAGTCTTTAAAGACGAGTTGAAAGGAGTATTTATAGACAAGCTGAATGGAGTGTTTATAGACGAGCTGAATGGAGTCTTTGTAGATGAGTTGAAGGCAGTCTTTTAAGACGAGTTTGAATTTAGTATTTTTAGAGAATCTGAAGAGAGCTTTTATACACGAGCTGAAGGGAGCTTTTATAGATGAGCTGGAGGGAGTCTTTATAGACTAGCTGAAGGTAGTATTTATAGGTGAGCTGAATGGAATCTTTATAGACGAGCTGAAGGGAATTTTTATAGGCCAACTGGAGGTAGTCTTCATGAAGCTGAAGACAGGAATCATTTGAAGAAATATAATGGGTCAACTTATTTTATTTCTCACTTTTAATTTCTCTTTTTTTTGGCAGGAACCCCAAAGCAAGGTGACAGAAATTGATGTTATGCACGTGAAGAAAGAAGAACCAACTGCGGATGATGCCAATGCAACTGATGGCAATATACCAGTTCCAGTTTTAAATTTCAACTCCACGGATATTACAAAGGAAGGAACAGAGGCTGCACCAGAAAATTCGAAGATATTGAATAACAATACTGATGCTACGACAACAACAACAAATACTCTCAACACTACCAAAACAATTGCTGCCACAACAAATAAAGAAATACCACAATCGAAAGATGTTTCAAATTCAACGAAATTGGCCAATCACCAGCCTACGAATCAAAAGGAAACTAATAGTAAAATGACGCCAAATAAAATGAAACAACAAGTAAGGCCATTTTTTAGCCACTATGATTGATTTTGAAAATAATTTAATTAATTTTTTATTTTCATTTCTTTTCCCCCCTAGGAAACCCTAACAGAACGTAAACTTAAGACTGATATTAAAGCTTCATAATGTTAGCCGTTCTTTAGCCAACTACTTACATACGTATATACATACAACTAAATGAACAAATTCTGTAGTATATTGAATTTATTTTTAAAAAAATTAAATGAAATGTTAATTCAACATTTAGCTGAAAGAGAAAAAGACAACCAACTAACTCATGAAAAAAAAAAAAACAAAATATTTCCAAAGCAGACAAACGAAACAATGTTTGAAAAATTGTAAATGCAATGAATTTATGATAATAAAAAAACAAATTTTAAATGAATCTACAGAGTTACTTTTTTGTTATTTACCTCAAGTTATCCTACCTTGTATTATTTTAAGACGGGTTCAATCAAATTTGACCAGATTTTGTAGCATTTCCTTCCTACACTCCAAATGAGTACTCTTAATTCCCAATTTCAGGATTCTAGGTCTATCGGTTCACATAAATCCAGATGATATCAAATTTAGTACCATTTAGTACACATTAATGTAAATTTCCATTTAGTGTCATTTAGTAGACATTTCCAACACTCCAACAGTGATACTAACTCGAAACTTTAAGATTATAGTTCTGTCGGTTCACCCAAAATTAAAATTGTACCAAATTTAGTACACATAAGTACTACTTTCCAAAACTACACACATACCATAATTGTACACCCCGGCTAAAAGTAATTTTAAGTCCAAATTTCAGGATACCAGCTCTATCACTTAAATCCAAATTGTACGAATTTTAGTACCATTTAGTACATACATACATACGTATAAATATCCGAAACTATTTACATACCTAAATTCTACACTCCAACGGTAATATTAATATCGGTTCACCTAAATCTAAATTTTTATCAAATTTAGTACTTTTCGTACGCATAAGTACAAATTTCCCAAACTACCTACATGTCCCAATCGTTACAGCCCAACAAGAATCCTAACTCCAAATTTCAGTATTCTATCTCTATTGGTTTTCCCAATATTCAAACTTTACCAAATTTAGTACCTATATACGCCAATTATACACTCCAAAAGTAATCATAAATTAAATTTTTACTATTCTAGCCGTAAATCCAAATTGTATCAAATTTAATACCATTTAGTTCCCATAAGAACAAATTTCCAAAACTACATCCCTACCCCCATTCCTACACTCCAACTAAATTACAAATTTCAGTGTTTCAGCTCTATTGGTACACCTAAATCCAAATTATACCAAAATTGGTACCATTTAGTACACATTAGTAGAAATTTCCAAAACATCCCACATACCCCAATCCTACATCCAAACAGTGATCCTAACTCCAAAGTCCAGGGTTACAGCTATATTGGTTCACTCAAAATTCAAATTGTACCAAATTTAGTACACGTAAGTACGAATTGCCCAAACTACCAACACACCTCAAATCTATAATGCAGTTGTAATCTTATTTCCTAATTTCAATGTTCCAGCTCTATCGGTTCACCTAAATTCAAATTCTACCCAATTTAGTACCATTTTAGTACACATTAGCAGAAATTTCCAAAACATCCTACATACCCCAATCCTACATCCAAACAGTGATCCTAACACCAATGTTCAGTGTTCCATCTCTTACGGTTGACATAAAACCAAATATAGTACCATTTAGTACTTTTCGTATACATAAGTAAACATTTCCAAAATTATCTACATACCACAATCGTACGCTTTGACGGTAATGTTCATTTAAATTTTTCGTTTCTCCAAATTAATTGTACCAAATATAGTACTTTTCGTATACATTAGTGCACTCTTGCAAAACCACCTCCTTACATCGGTCCTACTTCTCAACCTTAATTCACATTCCAAATTTCAAGTTTTTAGCTTTATCCGTCCACATGCAATGAAATTGTAACAAATTTAGTAAATTTTAGTACTTTTCGGATACTTATAGTTTGAATTAAAAAAACCTTTTGTACATCTATCCTGCACTCCATGGGTGATCCTCATTCTAAATTTAAGAGTTCTAGCTTTACCGGTTCGTCAAATACCAATTGGTACCATATTTAGTACCTTTCGCGCCGTTTTAGTACGAATTTCCAAAAACATAGCCTTATCTGACACCTTCGGACAAAGGGTTGCCCTCACCCCAAATTCCAAGATTCTAGCTTCAGCCGTTTCATCTGGGCGTTGATGAATCGATAAGTCAATTGCTTTATGGGAGAAACACATACGAGGATTCTGGTCCCCCTCTTTACTCTTTTATTAATTTCGATAAGATTCCGTTATATTTCGCTCTGTCCAACTTTATAAATATGCAATTTTGGCGTTTTTACTAACAATGACAAACCACCGGCGTCATAGCATTGACAACACTGTTTCTCCCAATTCGCTCTTCATTTAGTTGTCAAACATTTCAAACGCCGGTCGGTCGCGAATGTTGATCGTTAAAGGAAAATCTTGAAATTAAAGTCAATAATTTGTTTAAAACTCTAGGAAAAGTGTAAATTATAGTAGTTTTTGGAAATTAAAACAATATAATTGTCAAAAAAACGTGTTTCCTGTTGGAATTCATTGAAATTTTGTGTTATTTCTGTGCCTTGCAAATGAAACTCCAATTGGTGTGTGTTTTTGCATCCAAGATCGTGTGTGTGTGTTCAATGAGAGTGTGCTATTGCATTGTTTGTGTTTTCCTTGGCGGTCGGTTATTTTATTCGTCGGTTTAAAAGTGATCATTCGGTTAAACTGTTGACAACTTTTTCGTCTATTGTCAAAAATGAGTGTTTTGTAAATTCGGTTCGTTTAATTTCGTTATTTTCTTTTACGGAAGCAAATGTTGAAGAGATTGCCAATTAAAGAGAGTAGTTATATAGGATTCTCATCCAATGCAAATTCAACTGCAGTTCTTGTTATTCCTATTGGATTTCAGCAATAGTGTGGTATAGACAAAAACAGCTGTTGAGATGGTAAGTTCATAGCATCTTCATTAGAAAATATGAAAATTTTAAAATAGTTTAAGATTATATATAAGTGTTATAAGCGTAGATTATTTAAAAAAAATCGAGGGGCTAAAAAAAGATGTGCATTTCTAAAAAAAATTCAAAGACTATAAACTGGCGTGGGTTTTTTTGAAACATTTTTTGAGGACTATAAAGAGGCGTTGATTTTTTAAAAATGAGGCTTGGATTTTTTAAACATATTTCTTGAGTCCGTAAAGAGGCTTGGATTTTTTAAAGATATTTTTTTGAAGACTAAATAAACGCGTGTATATTAAAAAAAAAATATTTTTTAGGCCATATAGGAGGTGATGCAAATGTGGTATACACATTTGTTTTTAGGTTGCCAAATTTTTATTTTTTATCCGATTAAATTGAAATTTTGCACTTAACATGCTACATGTGTTGTCTTTCCATGTATCAAATTGAAAATAATATTATTCTAACAATTTAAGAGATATTTGAGAAAATATTTGAAATCCCATAAAAAGTGATTTTAAAAAAAGTGCAGGTAATGTGGTATACCACATGATGTTAATGTGGTATAGTATAATTTTCACTTCCAATTGATATCTTATATAATTTATTGTTTTTAATGAATGTGAATTAGCTCGAGATTTATGTCTGTTAAGATTTTTAACGGATACGTTGAGTGGAACTTTAATTTTTATTATATAATAATGTCTACACATGACAATATTTAATTTTTGTATGGAGAAGTTGTTAAAACTCATAGCCTTTGTTTTTCATCCTTGTGATTCATGGTAGACTCTCGTAGAGTACAAATGTTTCACATAGTAATGAGATTTTGTCTAGTGCTGGCCTTTTTTCATGCAGAATCAAGGTATACCACATTACCTACACTTGTGTTTACTGAAGAAATGTCTAGTTTTTTCCAAATTGGTGATTATGTGGTGCAATCGCGCATATTATTTGATTTTTAGTTCATACTGATTATTTTAATGCTTTAGTAATAACGATTAAAGTACATCCGTAAAACAAAAAATTATTTTTAAACTTCAACCGAAAAAAAGTCAATTTCATGAAAAATTTTATTTTTGGTACTGATTCTCAACGTGATTTAAATAAATTAAACAGGTCATTGCTATCTTATTTTTTTGAGAACAGCAAACTATAGAACATGTTTCAATTATTCTAAAATTTTCAGTTTACAAAAAAAGTGACTATACCACATTACCAACCTATACCACATTTGCATCACTTCCACTAGAGCTATTTTGATTTTTATACCCTACACAACTATGTTGGGTATTATATCTTTGTGCAGCCCCAAGAGTTTGTAACGCCGCGAAATATTGGTCCTAGACCCACCTTTAAGTATATCGATCGTCATATCTCGACTAGCTGAGTCGATCTACTATGTCTATTTGTAAACACGATACAAGCCACAGTTATGGACCAATCTTCACGAATTTTTGCATGTAGAATGGGTTCGGCCCAATGAAGACCTCTATTTGTTTTTGATAAAGATCGGTTAATAATTAGGGGATGATATGGACCAAATATTTAATTTTTGTTGGTTTTTCTGGTCGCTCTAGAGGCCGCAATTATGGCCCAAACATCGCGTATTTTTACATGGAGAAGGGGATCGGCCAAAAAATGAGCATGCCTGTTTTGATAAAGATCGGTCAATATTTAGCGGGTCAAATGGACTCTGTCTTTTGTGTAAAAAATGAGAAAATTTGTATTCTATAGCGTATATATTTACTCCTGCAGAACATAGAGCCGAGAAGTTGATAGTATATCCAAGAGGAGTGGTTGGCCTTTAAATTGACACCAATTATATTTCGTATCTACTCGGATGTGGGAGTTACACTTAAATATTTACTTGATTACTGATTACTTTCAAATGTTCCATGAGGTTCCTGTTATGGTCATGTACAACGCCTATAACTTTCGGTGGTGATCATTACCGATCATGATTATCATTTTGGGATGAAGTGAACCGAAAGCATATTTTTTGTGTTTTTTTTTTTCGATTCAATCTATAGGCTACAATTATAAGTCGAACATCACAACACAACCCTCGGTGAAGGGAATATGAAATT